GGCCACTTACCCCAGTCTCTGCTTAGACATCACCCCTGCTGTATGAAGTCTGCTCACAGATGCTGGGAGTGGGGGTTGGGGGAGAGGCAGGGCTGGGTGGGTGAGGCCCTTCGCCCCTCAGCCCCCACCCGAGGTCCGCCAGGGACCTCAGAAAATGGAGCAGTTCTATTTGATCTCAGAGTTCTCCCTGAGCCCCCCAAACTACAGTTTTCAGATGCTCAGAGGAGTGGAGGGTGGGGTGACTTGTTCTGTAGGAGGCTGTGGAAGGCAGCCAAGGCATGGAAGGGAGGATTTCTCTGGAGCAAAGGAGAGAGTCCCTGAATCAGAGCCAGGATGGGGAGTGGAGGGGCTGAGGTGTTCCCTGCAGTGGCCAGCTCAGAAGAGTGGGCCTCCCACTGATCATGTCTTCAGAGTTCTGGGCTCAGCCCAGAGACTGCTACAGTGCTAGGTCTAGGGACCAAATGACAATTTTAAAAATATTGACTTGGGGCACTGGAGGGATAGTACTTGCATGCAGATAACCCTGGTTCGATCCCCAACCACACATACGGTATCCCAAGTGAGCACTGCAGGGTGTGGTCCAAACTCTCTCCCCACAGGCCATGTGAACTGGAGCCAGAGAGAGCTCAGAGGGTGGAGCACGTGCTTTGCGCCCAGAAGGCCCAAGTTTGATCTCTGGCACCTCCTGCTCCCCCCCAGCACAGAGCCAGGATAAGCCCCCAGCAACACTTAATAAGCCCCAGGACCAAATAAATAAATTTAAAAGCCATTAACTTAACAATAATCTCACTAACACCGGGCCCTGTGCACGGAGAACAAAGCGAGCCTAGCCCCCTGTGGGCTCCTCACACAGATCCTGCCTGGAGGCATGTTTTCCCATTTCGCAGGAAAAAGTAGCTCGGAGAGTTTCACCCAAAGTCAGGAGTGGAGCACTCGTAAGATCAGCTGGCTGGACTCCAAGCCCCAGCTCTCAGGAATGTTCTGTGCTGGGTCCCCAAGAGGAAAGCTCTGTGCAGCATGAGGGACGATGCTGGGGGCTTGGGGTAGATGGTGGGGAGGAAGAGGCCAGAATTCAGCACAGAAACTACACCTCAGAGGTGAGGGGGAAATCTCTGTGCCCGAACATGCAGCTCCTTAGTGTGGACACACACACACACACACAACACACACACACACACACACACACACACACACACATGCACGCATGCGCATGGCAGCTGCCCTGGCTACACTGAAGAGAGCCCAGCTCCTCTGCCCTCTGGTCACTCCCTAATGTTTTGGAAAGTTCATCCTCTTTCCACTGACCTCATCCAATCATTGAAACAAAAGAGTGCATTCTGCTTTAGGGTGTTTCGGGTTTTTTTTCTGACTCACATCTTTGTCCCTAGAGCTCTAGAACCAGAGAGTGATCCTCAGCACAGCCTGACAAGAAACCAACCGGTCTGCGGAAATGCTGCTTCTACACCTGCTCACATACTTGGGTACCCTGATGATTGCCCCCCTCTTAAACTCCCCCTCAAAGTCAGAGGCTCTCAGAGGACTGACGCCAAGAGGCCACTGTACATACCTCCAAGCCCACCAGGCTCAGCAGGAAAGCTGGCACCATTTCAACCCAAATCTGATCACACCAATTATGGAAGAAACCTGTCAGCTCACAAACTACCCTCCAACCTATCCTAGCCTCAAATTGGAAAATCCAATTCAAGAAATGGGTGGAGAACTTACACAGTAATTTTCCCAAAGAAGATATGAACAACGGAAGGTGCTTGGCATTACGAATCATCAGGGAAATGCAAATCAAAACCACAATGCTACAAAGCACCTCACACGTTAGAATGACTGTTATCAGAGTCGAGAGATAGCACAGGCCAGCAAGGTTGAGCGCAGTTGGTGGAACTGTATGTTGGTTCAGCACTATGATTTTTATTTTTAAAAAATTAGAAGCATGGGGCTGGAGCAACAGCACAGCGGGTAAGGCGTTTGCCTTGCATGCAGCCAACATGGCTGACACAGGTTCGATTCCCAGCATCCCATATGGTCCCCCGAGCAATTCCTGAGTGCATGAGCCAGGAGTAACCCCTGAGCATCGCCGGGTGTGACCCAAAAAGCAAAAAAAAAAAATTTTTTTAAATTAAAAAAATAAAAATTAGAAGCAGAGGAGCAATAGTACAGCAAGCTGCTTGCCTTGCACGCGGTCAAGCTGGGTTTGATCCCCGGGACCCCATATCACTGAGTCCTTCAGGAGTGATCCCTAAACACAGAGCCAGAAGGGAGTTCCAAGCACTACAGGCTGTGACCCCAAAACAAGAACATTAAAAAATAATTAAAAGCAGAAAAACTAAATGATCCTATAGTTCCATTTCTGGGTCTTTATCTAAAAGAAATGCAAACATTACTTCAATAGGACCTCCCCTATCCCCCACCCTCTGGGCTCAGATCAGCAAGATATGGAAACAACCGAAGTGTCCCCCAATAGATGTAGGGATAAAGAAACGGCCACTGGATGACTACGGAGCCACAAAAAAGGAAACCCTGACATTTGTGACGCCAGGGGTGATCGCTGGGGAAATTGTGCTGAGAGAAGTCAGGTGGAGAAAGAGATCTTGTGCAACTGGAATCTAAAAAATATGAAACAACAAGAAAAAACTCACAGGAAAGGAGATTGGATTTGTGGGTACAGGCAGGGGGAGGTGAAGGTGGTCCATGGTACAGGTGTCTAGTCCCAAGGTAAGCAGCACTAGCCGTGTGCAACATGAGTCAACCTGGCTCTTGGGCTTCTTTCAAAATGAAGAGAGCAATTTCTTCAAGTTCTGATCACAAGAAAATCAGTTTTTCCTTTTCTTGCTATACCTCTATAAAATGGAGGGTGTTAACTATGCTTTAGTTCATAATAATATCTAAGCTCATTATGCAGTATGCCTTACAATTATATAGTGTATGCCTTTCGATTAAATAAAACTGGAGGGAGGTGTGAAGAGAAGTAACAATGGGAGGATAAAAATTTCAGAAGAGTTTACCCAAAGAGGAAAGACCCTTGTCCCAACTCTTGGGAGGGAATCTCTAAAATGCTGAGAGAGGATTTCTTAGTTTTGGGAGGCAGCCCCTATATCATTGGGAATTGAAGCACCTTTGTTATTCACAGCAGGCCACCCATTCATCAGATGAGACCATGGGGACTGGCAGCCATCCTCTGGGAGCTGGCCTGTTCTTTTGTTTGTGTATCTTTTTGTTTCAGCCACACCCTGTGATGCTCGGGGGCTACTCCTGCCTCTATCTCAGCTTGAATTCATTAGGAATTACTGCTCACAGTTTCTAGGGACCATATGAGATGCCAGGGAATGAACGCATGTGTAAAGCAAATGCCCTACTATCTCTCTGGCTCCAAAGCTGCTTCTTTGTTTACAGTGTGTCCCTTCACAAGTCTGTCCACTGTGTGTAACTGAACCTGAGGGGCCAGACAGCAGGAACTTTTTTTTTTCCAAGCCAGCAGCAACTCTTCTTTTCCAAGCCTCTTAAAGATGTTTTATTTATTTGTTTGTATTTTAACAATAATGGCATTTTACAAAACATCAAACTACCAAAAAGGACCGTATCTTGGAGTATGCGTTCACATTGTCCTGCAGAGGGACTGGTTGTGAGGGTAGCCCCAGGACCCCTGGGTTAGTGGCTGACACCTGAGGGAGGGCAGTCTGGTGGAGACTGTATCTATAACCTGTGGCATTTGGCCATCAACGGTGAGGTTGGCAAACCTCAATGCAAAAGGAAGAATCCAATAGTCTAAAAACCTCCTGGTACTATATGAAATCCCCTACTCTGTGGCATGCACAGCACAGTAAAAAGCATCCCAAACTAAGCAACAACCTTGGCCATGCCCTTTCTCCGTGATCTGCTGGAGAACCTAGCAGGGGGAGGAAGGTCGGAAGCTAAGAGAAGCAGAGAACAAAGAGGCTCGGGGAGGAAGAGGCCATAGTGCGCAGGGCATGGCAGGATCCTGCTGCATCTGAGTGAGGCTGGTCAGGACATCGCTGGGGCCATGAAAATCAGACTCAGACAGCAGGGCAGTGTCCTGATAATGACAGAGACAAGTGATTTGTCAATCAGTAATACTGGGGCTCTTTCCCCTCAGCTATGTGTCTGTGTTGTGAGTGTGTGTGTGTGTGTGTGTGTGTGTGTGTGTGTGTGTGTGTGTGTGTGTGGCCTGGCCTGGAACCCTTCAGCTCACCCATAAGCAGCACATAATCTCCCACCAAGCTATGTCTCTAGCCCTGGGGATGTTTTAAAGTTCCATTTAAAGAATGGTCATTCCTAAAACCCACACCCAGACAGTGTTTGCCAGAGACTTCCTTCTTGTTAAAGATCTTATAGAATTGTAATGACCCAACTTGGGTCCCACGTGGGACTCAATCTGTCAATTCCCAAATCCTGAAAAAATGGCAAGCCTGCATGCTAGGACAAGACAGTGTCGGTGCCCGTTATGCTCCTTCCATCTAGAGAAAGAATCCAAGATCAGTTTTTTCATGAAAGGCGTTTCCAAGATGCCACCTATCACTGGAAGAAGTCAAGCTGAAGTACTACTAAAGACAAACTTTTTAATATTACTATCTTTCCCTAAGAGGACCGCACTAAAACAAATTCTCTTCTCTGCAAAGCAAAACGCCAGCAGCAACCCCGAGCTGATAAGATTAATCTAAAGAACAAATTATGGTGTAATTTCCTATGATGCTACTTTGTAGTTGATTTTTTAAAATGGTTTCATTTTCCTCTTGGTTTTTATTTCAAAGGAACATCTTACCTGGTTTTCTAATGGGGCATTTTTTTTTCTCCTGGGAGCTGTGATTGGCCCCCAAGTTGGCTTAACAAAAATTTCCAATGTAAATGAATTTTCCCTCATTTCAGCAATTTTAAAATCTATATATAGAGATATCTGTGTCAGAGTGCATTGTTGGTTCCCCTAGGTAAACTAATTGTCCCATACTATCAGTGAAAATAGAGCTGTATTGATGGGTCTCGCCTCCCAACTGATGCCCACTCTGCTCTGCTTACTAGCATGTACCAGCAACATGGGGGCCCATGTACACAGAAAGACTATTGTCCTGCGAGAGGTCATCAGAACGCTGAACACACTTACAGAAAAAAAGGTGAGTAAGCTATCTGGTACTATCTCTCCAAATGATGATGCCGCTGGCAGTTCTTAGACTACCACGGCTTCTAGGGATGCTGCTCGGTGGAGGCTGGTCGGCAGCACAGTGGAGCAAAGGGAACACTTTGCCTCAGTGCTTTCCCCACTGAGGAACTGCAGGGAGTGAGGGAGTGAGGGCTGCCTGGCAAGGATCACTGGGTAGAGTCGGTGCTAATTCTGTCTCTCCCTCTCTCCTCCCTTCCTGGGCCAAGGATGCCTGTCTGGAGCTGACTGTAGCAGATGTCTTCGCTGCCCCAAAGGTAAGACTGTCCCGGGCTTGCTTTGGCATCTGGGTGATTTGGGAGAGAAAAGCCAGCCACAGCAATTTGAATAAGAGACATTTGCAAGGGCTGGGGCACATGCTTTGTATGTAGGAGCCCTGGGTTCCATCCCCAGTACCACATAGTCCCCAGCACAGCCAGAGGAATCCCTCTCCAGCACTGCTGGATGTGGACCACCTCCCCCACTCCAAAAACAGAAATAAACACTTGTAATGGAAAGTAAGCAGGCCCAAATTAAATATAAGGTATTGAATGTTTCCAAACATTGAAGATCCTGGTCTTTATACTAAAACATGTTCTGGTGTTTCTGGTTTCATTTGAGAAAGAAGATACGTGAGAGAAAGCTTGGGTTTTAACATCCGAACTTAGATCCTTGCCAAGGAAAAGCTCGTTAGCATTTTACCCAGCCTCCATGTAGCGTCTGAAATACAGGAGGCACTCAATAAATGCTTTAAGATAAAGAAAATTTCTCTGGCCCATAGTTTTCTTAAAAACCAAATACTCTCACAGAACCAGATATTGAGATTACAGGTTGAGAGAGCTTTCATTTTGTCTAAGAGACTTCCTACGGCAAGAGAAAAGGTATGAATTACCAGAGTCCCCTTCTACCACCTGGTCACACACTAGCACCGGGTTGGCTGTCCAGAGCTGATCAGATCGGTTTGCTCTGTCTGGCCAACTCCCTTCCAACCTGGTCTGGAACTGTCCTTGGGGACGGGTTTCCACCTTCCCTGCTTCTGGCAGCTCAGCCATCTTGCTTTCGGCCTCCGGTGCTGGCTCACTTCCCCATCCCCCATCTGTAGTGGGAGGAGATAGATTTGACAGCTGATAGTGCGTTTTCTCTGACAAACACATGACTACAGCCATATCAATAGCTTTGTGCATATCAGTTCCTGTTTTCATGGAAACACACAACTGAGAATGAAAAAACCCAAAGCTTCAATTAAACCAGTGGTCTCCTAACTACCTGCTTTCCATGTGTAGAGAGTGGGTAACTGGGCCAAGGCGAAGAGCAGGGGGTAGCAGGGCCAGGCCTAGCATCCAGGCCATAGGAGCTTAATCTCTTCAGGCATTTACCTGGTCTGATTTCTCTTAGGATTTTTAGCTGGCGGATATAGCTTAGTGGTCCAACAATTGCACTGCATGTGTGTGGCCCTGGGTTCAATTCCCATGACCACAAGAAAAAAAATATTATTTTAGAAGTCACAGGTGGGCAGGAGTGATAGTAAGTGGGGAGGGCCGTTTGCTTTGCACAACGACCCTGATTCGATCCCCAGCATCCCATATGGTCCTCCGAGCACTGCCAGGAGTAATTCCTGAGTGCAGAGCCAGGATTAACCCCTGACCCAAAGGCAAACAACAATAACAAAAAAGTCATAGGTATGGAATATTTGTACTATTATTTATAATAGTATAACTATGCTATGTATAACTATATATTATTGTTTAAATTATAATTTATATTTTAGAATTCTGTCCTTCAAAGTCTCATTCTGTGCCAGTCTGTCAGTAGGTTGGTAGGGATCAGAAAAGATTTATGCAATACCATATAGCATATTAATATTTTGTTCCTACAAATACCAGTCAAAGGTCCATCCACTGGGTTGTGTTCTGGGTCCTCTAGAGGGGGCTACATGCTGGGAGGGTACCTGAAGGAAGTGCTGAAGGTCTGAAGGGAGACGCCTGTGGTAGCAGCCCCAGTTCTGTCATGAGCTAGCTGTGAGGCCTTTGTCAAGCACTCCCCTCTGTGCCTCAGTTTCTACATCTGAAGATACGGAAGTTATTTTGAAAGTTGGCTGAAATCCAACTCTTAGTGGAAAGTATTATGGCAAAATGATACAACCCTTGATTAAGGGAGGGAAAAAGTTGATTGCAGAATAATTCTAAGAAAAAGGGGCCAGTGGTTAGAAATGACCAAATCCTCCATGACTCCGAGCTCAGGCTGTGACCCCACTTTTACCCGTGTCACATGCACTTCCTTCAACTGCTTCTATTTCTCCCAGTACCATTTACTTATCTGTTAAGATATTTTAGGATAAGAAAAAGTTGTTAGTTTTCAAAAGCCACACAGGTAAAAGTGTGAGATGGGAAGTTACTTATTGGTTCATAAGAGAAGTAACGTCTCTTCCCCAAATCCAGGCAACTTTATCTCATTTGGGGAGCAAGAATTTCAGTACCTAAGGGTTGGGGTGCATCCTGCCCCTGGAATTTCTGGAGACAATGTGTTCAGAAGCACACTGGACTTCAGAGGCCACACCCTTCCCAGAATCCATGAGTGAAGGGACACCACCCTTCCCAGTATCTTTGAGAGAAAGGACACCGTGGGCAGCCAGAAGGGGGAGTTTGTTTCTCTCAACCAAGGAGAATGAGAGCATCATTTCTAACCCGGGGCCATAAAGTCCACCTGTGTGAGTTCCCAGGCTCCCAAGGGGTCCACAGGTGAAGACCACATAAATGGGGTACATGACACAAACTAAGGGGATCAACTGATAGGATGTGGGGAGGGGGTTGGTGCACAGGAAGGAAACGAGGTTGGAAAAGAGCCACAGTGAGAAAAGAGTTGAGAAACACTGAGCTATAACACAAAACTTTCTTGAAAGTTCTTTGCTTACCAACTTAAATCTATTTTTTTCAATTGAAAGAATCATCAATAAGTGAAAGTGCATCGCCAGGTGTGATCCAAAAAGCAAAAACAAAACAAACAACAGCAAAAAACAGAAAACAGTCACATGCTGTGCAACTGAGTGGGACTCACACTTAGCTGAGTGGCTCTGTCACGTCATTGCACCCTCCCAAGGAAGGGAAACCGGAAGGTTCTGAGGAGGCTGCTGCAATTGCAGGACCTTCGGGAGGAGTCACTGACAGAGGTTTGGGCCTGTAGCCAGCCTCCTTCTCTCCCACAGCGGGAATACCTGATGGGTTTCTCTACTTGCGGATTTCCCTGAGACAGTATGGGCTTCTTTCACTTGCCTGCCTGGAAAGGAAAAATAAGAACTCTCTCTGCTGTGTCCACAAGAAAGTTAACGCATGGATATCTGTGGCATTTCTCTTTCAGAATACAACCAGGACAGAAATCTTCTGCAGGGCCGCCACTACGATCCGGCAGTTCTATAAGGAGCACAAATGTTTACATCGTTTCCCGAAAGGGCTCTACAAGAATCTTAGCAACCTGGCCAACATGGTGAGCTGAGTTAAACTGACAGATTGGTTTGTGGTGGCCAGCAGCAGCTTAATTCCTAAGCACTCCTCTGAGGCATGATGTCCAGTAGCTCCCGAAACAAATAGTTTTGCTGAGGCTCTGTGAGTGGCAGGTACTGCCCAGGGATCTAGCGTGAAAGCAAAGCTCTCACAGAATGTCCTAGCAGGGACAAATGTGTCACATGATGCTCAGGAGTGGCAGTGCTTCATGGAAGAAGGAATATGGGTGTCACTGAGGGAAGGGGCTGACTTAAGAGCAAGAATTTGAATTAAGTGAAGGTCTAAACACACAAGTTACTGGAAAAAGAAAATTACAGGAAGAAGAAATGGGAATAGCAGTGTAAAGACCAGAGGTGAAGATAAGCTTTGTTTAAGTTGGCAGGAAAGGCAGCGTGGCTGCATCAGAATAAGCAAGGTGATGAGGTCACACGGGTCCTCTGGATAATCTTCTTCCCAGTGCCGAGGACCATTTGAATGAGGGCTCCATATAGGTTGGGCTTAAGACTCACTACCATGAAGACTTAGTTCTTTGGGTTCTGCCACAAGCATGGAGGGAAACAGAACAGGGTTTTGAGTAGGCTGGAAATGACAATCTGATTATGTGATTGACAAGGCTCACTCTGACGCACCACAGACTCAATGGTGTATAGGCATAGAAGATGGTCTACTGGTCATCGCTAAGAACAGAGGCAGATGGGATGAGAGTGGGGTAGAGCGAAGGTGACAAACTTCTAGCCTGGGTCCCTGAAGGAATGCTGATACTGTTACAAATCCAAAGATGGTGGGACTGGGAATGAGGAGGCAAATGAGTGGGGCAGGTAGGAATTAACAAAATAATCATTAGTTTTGTAAGTCAGGAGATGTAAGTCAGGCTATCCTGATAGGATAGCCAAGTGGACGTGTTGGATAGATTGCTGGGAAAGGCTGACGCTTAGGGAGTTTAAAACTTTGCTATAAAATGAAGAGTCCTCAGAAAGATGTTCAAGTCACAGATCCAAATGACACAGAGAGAATCAAAGGCCACGCCCAGCCGTGCTCTAGTCTGTGGAGGTCAGAAAGAAAAGGGTAGGGCAAATGAGACGCCCAAGGAGCCAGTGGAGGAGGAAGATGCCAGAGTGATGCCCTCTAAGGCAAAAGAAGGCAAGGCAGCGAGTGACTGTTTCTCACATACTGAAAGGCCAAGTCAGACAGAGACTGAGCTAGGTTACTGACTCTGCTGTAGCTAAAGGCCAGAGGAGAGGGGGTGCCACAGATAATAAAGGCAGGGAAGAGGAAGAGGAAGGAGGGAAAGAGAAGGAACAGAAAAGTCTTTGGAGTAATTCTGGGTACAGAGGAAGGAACAATGTAGCTGAAGGACGGTATGAGGTGAACAAAGTATCTTCTCTGGGAGGAGAGCCAGAGTGGCACTCCAGGGCCACACCCAGCAGTGCCGGAGCTGGGGCGCCAATAGTGCCAAAGAGCCTGGGCCTTAATATAAGACATGTGCTCTCCTGCTTGAGCCATATCCCCAGTCCCAAGCTTTTTTGCCACACCCCCAACCCCCCAGACTACCAGCATATATACCACAGGATGATTCTGTAGAGAAGAGAGAAGTATCATTGCAGGAGTGAGGAAAAGGCAAGAGCAGACGTTACCAAGGCCAAGTAGAGGTGCCAGAGACCTTCACTGGGCCCCTGGGTCGGCCTCCTCACTCAGAACAGGCAACTGGCACAGTGCTCATCCTCTTTTTCTCTGAGGAGGGGTGATGCCTCCCAAGAAGTACTCAGGGGACCACTCCCAATAATACAGAGGTCAGTGCTAGGGTTGGGGATGAGGCGCTGCTCAGGCCCTGTAGTGCTGGGGACTGCCCGAGTCCTCAGCAGCCACTAGGGACACACGCCATGATCTTGAGGGACCATGTAGTACGGTATCTCAAACAAGGGCTGGGCATGTGCAAGGCATGCTCCTAACCCCTGAACCATCTTCCTGGCCCTCAATCTTCCCTTTAATCCTAATGAACTCCGCATCACTGGCCTGCTCTACACAGGAAGGGACTGGGAACAACTTATCAATGTATGTCCGTCTGAAGGAATGAAATTAATAAGTTGGTTAGAGCTGAGATTTAAACCAAAACCATGGCCTATGGTAGGTACCCAGAATCCTCTACTCTCGAGGTGCCACCAAGCAGTGGTGTAGCTGGTTAATGGGCAGGAAGACAAGTGGAGAAAGCTGTCGGGGTAGTCAAGGACAGGACTGAATCTTCACACCACACCCCCTGAGCAGCAACAATCTGTCCACAGCTTTCCAGAGCCTGCAGCCGGGGCGGTGGCCCCTGCTGTGAAATATTAAGTACTGACAAGGGGCAAATCCTGCAGGATGCAGGTAGAGGCCAACAGACTAGCCTGGAGGCACCAGTTCGCGCACTGCTCAGGCGGCAAGGGCTAGCGTGGGCAGGACTCACTGATGGTACAGTGACAGTGGGAGCTAATGAAGTATTTCCATTGCAGACACACTGTCCCGTGACAGAAGACAGGAAGAGTACACTCAAAGGCCTCTTGGAAAGGCTGAATTCCTTCATGAAAGAGAAATACTCCAATTCTTCAAGTTGAATATTATAATTTATGCATCTAATAGTCTTTATTTTTTTAATATTTATATATTTATAAATAAAGTATATGTAAAAGCTGCCCAGGTGACATTGCTTTGATGGGACTGGCTATCTGTACATAACACATAAAAGTTATGGCTTGCCAGTTTTGAAACAATTAAACTGAGAGACTAACTGGCATGGGAATGAAAAAAACTGAATAACTGTTTATTAAGGAATTTGCTCTGTGAGGAGAGAGTTATATTGTAGGAAATGACTAAAGATGCACAATGGGGCAGGTGAGACAGTATGGGGAAAATGTGCCCACCCTGCACGCAACTAAACCTGAATCGGTGTCCAACACAGCTGGGAGTGCTCCCTGAGCACAAAGCTAAGAGAAAACCCTGAGCAAGTTCTGAGCACTGCTGGCATGTTCCCAAACAATACTCCCTGCAAAAGAATGCAAAGTGTAAACGTAAGAGATTTGCAGATGGGTTCAAGGGCCAGACATAGCACTGTAGCACTGCCCTCCCATTCATCGATTTTCTCGAGCAGGCACCAGTAACATCTCCACTGTGAGACTTGTTGTTACTGTTTTTGGCATGTTGAATACACCATGGGGAGCTTGCCAGGCTCTGCCATGTGGGTGGGATACTCTCAGTAGCTTGCTGGGCTCTCCAAGAGGGACAGAGGACAGAGGCCACTGGACAGTCAGGTTTGGGTCCTCAGTGACAAGACACGTGGGACCTCATGGGATGGGGGTGGAGCCGGCCTTTTCCTCCCCATCCCAACGAGACCCCGAGTTGCCGCCCATGAATGGCCTTTCTGGCTCCTGATCAAGCTGCTTAATGGCCATGACCCCAGAGACTCAGGAGCAAATCTCGGAACCCAGCAGGTTTTGGCAGAAATCCCTCCAGATTTAAAATTAAATTAAAATTTCAAAATTTCAAAATCGCGCGGCCACTACTGCAGCCATGTGACATCATATGTTATTCATATCCAGCAATAGAAAACAAATTGTCTACCGTTGCCTTTTCAGCAGATCTGAGTGTTTGGGTAAAATCTCAAATAATGGTGGGTCTGGTGTCAAAATATTGAATGTGATCAAAGTAGAGAGAGAGTAATGTGGAAATCATCTGCCCCACAGGTAGGGGGAGGGCATGGGATAGGGGTACACTGAGGTCGATTGGGGGTGAAGAATGGGCACTGGTGAAGGTACGGGTGGGTGTTTCATTGTATGACCGAGACTTAGACCCAAAAGCTTTGTAACTGCTCTCATGGTGATTCAATAAATAAAATTAGAAAAAATGAAAAAAACAAAAAGTAAGGTGGAGTTCATGCCCAATTCAATCAGCTAATCAGTGGCTGAATAAATAGCAGTGGTTTGGCGTGGTTCGGCACCTGCCTCAGGCAACCGTAAGTAAACATCTGAGCTCGCAAAGCAGTGCAGAGATGCGATAAAGGAAGACCTCAAAGAGAAAAGATCAGAAGTGTTGGTAGATGCAGCAGAAGCTGGGAAAAGCATTCGTAATGCCCTCCTGTCCTTTGCAAACTACAAGACCAAGATGACTACCCTCCAACATCCTGATGGATCTATCACATCTTCCAGAAGGGCAATGGAGAAGATTATCCATGACTTGTACTCAGATCTCTTCGATAGCCACATCCACCTGCCCACATATCAAATTCTGCAGGATGGATAAGTCGTTCCCAATGTTCTCCCTTCCGAAATCCGACACGCCATTTCTTCGGTAAAGAAACGAACAGCACCTGGCCCAGACAAGGTCAGACCTGAACACCTGAAGAGCATGCCGTCGGTACTCATGAATACGATGGCTCGACTCTTCACACGCTACCTGTCTGAATGCAAGGTTCCATCCCAATGGAAAACCAGGACTGTATACTGTACAAGAAGGGAGATATCCACGACATTGGCAACTATCGCCCAATCTGCCTATTGTCTGTCATCTACAAGCTGTTCACTCTAGTCATCCTGAATAGGATTGGCAGAACACTAGATGAAGGACAACCATGCGAGCAAGCCAGGATCTGAAAAGGATTCAGCACCATCGACCATATCCACATGATAACCGAGCTCCTTGAGGTTTCTCGGGAGTTCAAGATGCCACTCTGTCTAATGTTCATTGATTTAAAGAAGGCCTTTGATTCTGTTGAAACAGAAGCAGTCGTCGAAGCCCTAGCCAATCAGAGCATTCAAACTCAATATATCAGGATCCCCCATGAGCTGTATTACAGATTCACTACCAGGATCTCACCATTTTACAGGGAGATGATCATTGATGTCAAGAGAGGGGTTCGGCAGGATGATACCATTTCACCGAAACTCTTCCGTGCAACCCTCAAGAATATCCTGCAATGACTGGAATGGGAAGAAATGGGAGTGAAGATAGATGGTTGGCAACTAC